GTATCAAGATCTTGGCTCTCTTTTTGTAATGATCCAACACCAAATGACCTGTTTGACAAATTAGATAAGTTACAAGCTCTACCCACCAGGCACAGTACAGTGCAATAGCAAAATATAAGGGAGGGTTGGAAGGGAGGCACAAGACCAAGCTAAAATGAAGTTGGATGGGGAAAGAACTCCGCGTTTGTTTTTGAAATCAACTTGTCAACTCTGGAGCTGCTTTGTTTAAGCCTTTAAGGGACCTGCATTTCCAACCCTGATAGGAAGAAAGTTGCATTACGTCACGGCATTATTGGGGTTATGAAGGATTCCTGGCTGCCCGGGAGATGATCTCTCCCAGAATTCCAGAAACTTAAGCATCATAATAGTCCGACTATTGGGACTCTGGAGAGTTTCTGCAAGTTTGGTGGATGGGTTCAGTGCAATGAATCAAAAGCAACATATAATAAATCATAACATCCTAAGGGTTACTGGACCCAAAGCGTTAACTCTGATTTTTCTCCACAGTGCTGCCAGATCTGCTGAGCTTTTCGAGCAATTTCTGATTTTGTACCCTTGGATCTGTGCTTGTGAGTGTTTGATGCTGTGCATTTTTTTTTTCTCTCAGGATTAGCAAGGTATAACAGCGTTCTTCCTTTCACTGAAGGAAAACTCCATCGGCAAACACATTGAACTGGACCCGGTATACAAATTGCTGAAAAACAGGACCAAAGTGATGCCAACCACCCCAGCAAACCAAGGCATATAAATAACAAGCAGGACAGTCCCCTTCACTATCTGCTACTCCACCAATCTTAGTGTTATTTGCAAACTTGCTAATCAGACCATCTATACTTTCCTCCAGATCATTTATGTATATCATAAACAACAGTGGTCCCAACACAGATCTCTGTGGAACACCACTGGTCACAGTTCTCCATTTTAAGCAACTCCCTTCCACTACAACTCTCTGTCTCCTGTTGCCCATCCAGTTCTCTATCCATCTAGCTAGTACACCCTGGACCCCATGCGACTTCACTTTCTCCATCAGCCCACCATGGGCAACCTTATCAAACGCCTTACTGAAGTCCATGTATATGACATCGACAGCCCTTCCCTCATCTATCAACTTTGTCACTTCCTCAAAGAATTCTATCAAGTTGGTAAGACATGACCTTCCCTGCACAAAACCATGCTGCCTATCACTAATAAGCCCATTTTCTTCCAAATGTAAATGTAGTGTCCTAGGCTTAACCCTCTTCTGTTGCTTCAACAATGAATTTTCTTCCAACATAAGTCAGAGGTCAGGATATTTGCTGATGTTTGCTTGCATGGGTTTCAGATCCATTCATTATTTACTAGAAAATGAAGCAGTTTGTCTTCATATGCAGAAAGGTCTGAACAAAACTTAAAGGCATGGACAGATAAGTGACAAGTAATATTAATTCCACACAGATTTTGGATAATGATCATCTCCCAATGCCATTCCCATTGCGGAATCCCCATTAGCAACATTCTGCAAATCACCATTGACCAGAAACCAGACCAGCCATATAAATTCTATGGCTACAACAGCAGATCAGAGGCTGGGAATTTTGGAGCAAATTGCTGAACTCCTTACTCCCCAGTGCTTGCTAACATCTGCAAGGTCCAATTTCAGAGAATTATCAAATACTGCATGCAGCTCCAACAACACTCAAGAGGTTTGAAACCATCCAAGTAAAAACAACCTGTTTTCCTGAAATCTCATTCACTACACTTGCAATGTAGCAGCTATGTGTTCTAGGGTTAGCATTTGGCTAAACCTAACCACCATCATCAGGGAGATAGTAGGAACTGCCTAGGCCCAAAATGTCAGCTTTTCTGCTCCTCTGATGCTGCTTGGCCTGCTGTGTTCATCCAGCTCTACACCTTGTTATCTCACCATCATTAGGGAGCTTGGTAGGAACGTACCAAGGCTCCTTTTTTGGCAGCATCTTATAAATCTGTGACCTCTACCACCTAGACGACTAAGGGCAGCAGGAACAGGCAACACCACTACCATCTGCAAGCTCCCCTCCAAGTCCCCACCATTCTGACTAGGAAACATAAGGCTGTTCCTTCAGTGCTGAGTTAATATCCTGGAACTCTCTTCCCAACAGCACAATGGAAATACTTACACCCGAGACTGCAGCAGTTCAAGGCAGCAACTCATCAGCAACTTCTCCAGAGCATTTAGGATGCCAGAGACCCTCAAGCTAAGAACGAATTTACCATTTACTTTTGGACTCTTCTTTTCTGTCTTTATGTGACCTATTATGTCGTATTATTATTCCCTTTCTTATATAATCTCTTCTGCCTTCCCTAACATTGACCATTTCTTATATTCTTTGCTCCCATCCATTTTTATTCTGCCTCTGTACTCGCTTATAAACTATTAAATTCCCAATGATTTTTCAACTTTCATGAAAGATTACCAACTCAAAATATCAATATTTTTCATACACTCCAGCTGACTGGCTGATTATTTTCAACATTTTGTGGTTTATGAATTGTTAAAGACAAAACACCTCAAATGTTGCCCTATGGCCCAGTTCGTGCAATGCACCAATTTTGGTGGCACAGCATTTGATTAAATAATGACGTGGCTTAACCTCACTTTGACATTCCATAGGGCCAGAAGCAAAGGTGATAGGTGTAACGGGACGCCTGCTTAGTTATTCGTGCTGATGACTTTTATAAAAATAACTTCTTGACCCCATTAAATCTAAATGCCAATTAGAATTTTGCATGCTTTCACTTATTAGTTTTAAAACTATGTGATAAAAGCTTAATTTACTGTATTTCGAAGCCCGTAACCCAAATTGCCAAATTCTGGACACTTACTCATCAAAGCCTTCTGGAATTTTTCCTTTTAACAAACAGAGCAGCTCCTTCAAAGTCTACAAATAAAAAGGAAACAATTACCATTTTCAGAAGGTCAAGAAAGGTTTTAAAGTTCTAAAGCACATTAAAGAAAGCTCAACATTGAATGATTAGAAAAACAGTGTAGACAGCTCAGTTTAAAAAAAAGTTTACCAGTAAACAGTGCATATTTGTTTGTTAAATGTTAATAGTTAATAGAAGGGCAAAGGCTTGCACTGAAGGCTGTTGAACTGACACAGCTGCACACAAATTACTGTATCCAGGACCTTAAAAATTACCCAGGAAGGAGCAGGCTTTCCAGTCTAAGTGCCAAGTTATGCTCACCCAAAACCTCTACCACTGAGCCCAAACTTAACATGCTGTTCAATTTTCACTCCCAAGATGCCTTTAACAGTCCCATTTTTAAAGGGGTCACAATTAAATGATGAAAAGAAAATCAGCATGTCATTTGCCAAGAGCTAGGAACCATAACTGCAACCTGGACTCCTAGGTGCATTCCCCTTTTGTACACTGATGTGGTGCTTACAAATACCAGGCTACATGAGATTCCTCTGGGGGCTAAGATCAGGAAAACTTCTGTCCTAGGGAATTTCTGCCTTAATCCTGCCATTTCTCGTGCTCCTAGCGTTGTGTGTAGCAAGTCAAACCTCCACCCCTTAGTAGCCTATGATGCACAGTACCCAGATCCTCACTAGTCCACCACCGACTTTACATCAGTAACATCTTGGAACTACTATGAAATTCTTGCTCCCACTCTAGTCCCTGTATATTTCAACAGTTGAATTGGCCGAGGCATCATGCACTGATAAAAACATAAAGCAATTTTAAATGAAACAAAATGCAAATAAGTTATTGAGCAAATAATTACAAATGCACAGAATTATAGCCTAAAATGAGAGCATTCAGTTCATTGTGACTGTATTGTGTTATGATGGCTTAATATTTAATTTTTTGTAGACTCCAGTTTGAAGGATTGCAGATAACTAGATTGCTTTGTTTTAACAATGTTGATGAAATGGTACATTTTTTTTAAAAACAAGAAATTACTTGGAATCTGTGATTCTAGATAATTGCTGGTCTTAATTGTTTGAATTCAGTTCAGGGAAAACACCCAACCGTTTTTATGATTGAGATTGATGGCTGGTTGAAATAAAAAGAACGTAAATGGAGCAAGACTGCAGAATTCCAAGGTGCATGTAGATCTAGTGCATGAATCATAATAAGTTAGTATGTAGGTCTAGCAAGTATTTAAGATTAATGGAATGCTATCCTGTATTAGGTGAGGAATTGAACACAAAAGGAGAGGTTAGGCATCAGTTACACAGGGCACTAGTAAGCCCACTTCTCAAATACAGTGTGAAATTTTAGCGTCTGTTATTTAAAGAATAATTTAAATGTACTGGAGTGATTCAGGAGGTGGGTTACTCGATTGACACATGGTACAAGTGGGTTGTCTCATGAAGGAAATTTGGACAGATTGGGCTTGTTAACACTTGAGTATAGAAGAGTGAGGGGTTGCTTGATTGAAGGACATGATATTCTGCACAGTCTTTACAGGATGAATATGAAAAGACGTTTTCATTTTATGGAGAGACCAAAGCTGGGGTAGCGTTTTAAAATTAGGGGTCAACCTTTTAGAAAACAGATGAGTAGAGAATTCTCTCAGAGGGCTGTGAGAATTTGGGACTCTCTGCCTCAGAGGCTGAGGCAGGGTCACTGAACATTTTTTCACACAGAGGTAGATTGATTCCCTTGCCTATCAAAAACCTAAGATAATTGGGGGTAGATGGGAATGTGGAATTCAAAACACAAACAGATCAGCCATGATCCAATTGAATGGGAGAGCATGTTTGAAGGACCATATTATCATTTAATTCCGCTCCTAATTTGTATGCGTTCATATGTATCACAAATTTGAATGAAATTTCAATATTATAGCTGCTCCACTAGGATATTTTTGGGATGGTGGTGGGGGGTTCTGGAGAGAGGACACGCAAGCTCCCAAATCAAAAGGATATTGCAGCATTGCTGGTTGGCCATTTAGGTAATGATATCCAGAGTGGGACCAGAAAGTACAGAGTCCACAAACATAAAAAACAGCAGTAAATAGTGCCAAAAGGGGAAAAATAGTTATAAAGTCAAGATTAATGGCTCTTTACATAAATGTACACAGTATTTAGAATAAAATATATTAATCAATAGCATAGACAGAACTTAATGGCGAGACAGCTACATTAGTGACGGCTGTGATGAGACGAAATCTGGGAACTAAATCCTCAGGCATATGTGACTTTTTGAAAAGTCAGGCAGGAAGGACAGAAAGAATGGTGAGGTGGTTTTGTTCGTAGAAAATTAAACAAAGTACCATAGCAATAGATGATGTTGAATTGGAAGATGTAGAATCTCAATTAACAGAGGAAAGAAATACCAAAGTTGGGGGGGGAATGGGGAGTCACTTGTGGGACTAGTCAATAGCCCCCCATCCCTCAACAATAATTAAACTGTAGGACAGAGAATAAGTCAGGAGATAATGAAGGCATGTAAAAAATGCAGTACATTAATCAAAACGAAACTTTGATTATTCCAATCAATGCGAATATTAGCCACAAGGAAGAATACACAGACCGTATTCAGAACAGTTTTCTACAATGTTATGACATGGATCTAGAAAAAATCTGGCTATTTTGGATCTGGTAATAAGATGAAATGAGGCAGTTTTATTAATGATCTCAGAGTAAACAATCCCCTAGGAAACAGTGACCACAGCATTCAGATTGAGAAGGAGAAACATGATTCAGTAAAAACTGTGCCAAACTTAAAGGAGGGTAATTGCAAAGGAATGACGGCAAAGCTGGCTGGAATGGAAAAGACAGTTCTTAAACAATGACAGACATTCATGAAAATAATTCATGACTCACAATCAAGATATATCCTAGTAAGAAAGGAGGATTCTAGGAAGGGAATAAACTAACTATGGTTAACCAGAAATTAGAGATGGTATCAAATGACATAAAAAACTGACAATGTGAAGAAATTAATGTGAAGGAAGAGGATTGCAAAAGTTTTAAAAAACTACAATATGTAACAAAAAATTCAAAAGTAAATTATAAGGGTGAACTAGCAAGTAATATGAAAATGGATATTAAGAGTTTCTTTAAATATATAAAAGGGAAGTAACAGGCCAAAATGAAGGTAGAAAATCAGGCTAAGGAAGTAATAATGAGGAACCAGCAGACAGCAGATGTGATGAAAAAATACTTTGCAACAGTCTTCACTTTAGAAGACAATATTAGCATTCCAAAAATACTAAATAATCAAGGGGCAAAAGGAGGAAACAAATACAACAACTGTCACCAGAGAAAAAAGTACTGGGGAAATTAATAGAGCCAAAAGCCAATAAGTCCTTTAGATCTGATGGGTTGTATCCAGGCAGCTTATCTAAACGGAGATATACTGGCATTGTTGAGGTTAGTTAGCTTGCCGAGCTGGTTTCTTGTATCACAGACGTTTCATTACCCTGCTGGGTAATATCCTCAGTGCAGCCTCTGATGAAGCGTTGGTGTGTTTTCCCGCCTGGTTTTTAAACTCTGGAGTCTGTTGAGCTGGATTACCTCACTTCCGGTTTTCCTTCACGGTGGAACGTATATGGGGTTGAGTTCTACACGTTTATTAAAGGCATGCTTCGTGGAGTGCCAGGCTTCTAGGAATTCTCGTGCCTGTCTCTGCCTAGCTTGCCCCAGTCAAAATGGTGGTTCTTCTTGTGGAGATATACTGGTATTGGAAGTGATCCAGAGAACATTCACTAGGTTGACACAGGTACAGGAGGATTATTTTATAAGGACAGGTTGAGTAGATTTGGCCTATATTCATTGGAATAAAGAAGAACAAGAGGTGTATAGGATTCTTAGGTGACTTGATTGGATAGATACAGAAAGACTTTTTTTCGCCTTGTGGGAGAGTCTAAGACCAGAGGGCATAACCTCAGATGGTAGTGAATCTGTAGAATTCTTTACTGCAGTGGGCTGTTGAGGCTTGGTCATGAAGCACATTCAAAGTTGATATAGATTTTTTAAATCAGTAAGGGAATCAAAGGTTATGGGGAAAAGGCAGGAAAGTGAAATTGAAGATTACCAGATCAGCTATGATCCCATTGAATGGTGAAGCAGACTTGATGGGCAAAATGGACTAATTTTCCTTCTACGTCTTATGGCCTTGTTCACCCTAAAAGAAAGGCTGGGAGTTTGAGGCAACATTTGAGAAACTGAAAGCTAGCTTGATCAATGAATGGGTATTGGCTGCTACTAATTTCTTTAAACCCTTTAAAGGTAAGGATTGATGCTAGTGACTTCATGGTAAAAGTCTTGTAAGGTGCGTGATTAATATATACTTTGATGTAATTTATTACAGATTTTGGAGTTGGAACCAGCGGGTTTTAGTTTGTGTTTATGAGGCTTTTAACGATTAACTTTTCACTTTTTGTTGAGCCATGGTTATTTTTTTACAACCAGAATGAGAGAATCCCTTGGGTGGGAAGGGGGAATTTTAGAATTACAAAATCCTTACAGTGCAGATAGAGGCCCATCAAGTCTGCACTGATCCTCCAAAGATAATCCTACCCAGATCCACTCCCCCACCCTATCATCATAACCCCACATTTACCATGGCTAATTCTTCTAGCTGTACATTCCTTGACACTACGGGGCAATTCAGCATGGCCAATCCACCTATCTTGCACACCTTTGGACTGTGGGAGGAAACTGAAGCATCCGCTGGAAATGAAAGATGTAGGGCTAACATGAAAACTCTACATAGACAGCCACACAAGGCTGGAAGTGAACCCAGATCCCTGGCACTGTGTGGCAGCAGTGTCAACCACTATGTTACTCTGCTGCCCTATGTTTCGATTGACAAGTTTTACAAGAGGATAGAATAAACACTGAAGTGCATTAGCTTGTTGTCAGTTAGAAGGATCAGGAATCTTTATTCTTGCTTCAGAAACCAGTAGCTTAGATTTTTTTTCAGTTTGCAGAGGTCCTGGTGGAAATTGGATGTGTGAAACAGATTCTCCTGAAGAAATGAGATACTTAAGAACTGTTACGAAATAACTTACATCAGTGTATTGATTTTAGATTGGAAGTTTTACACCGGAAATGTTTGGTAAGAACCTTGAAGAGGTTACTCAAAGTTGAAAAAGTCTAAGCTCAGTTGTGACTATCAAGTGAAAGCCTGTCAAACTCACAAGACCATGAACTGAAAGTAACAGTAAAGTTAAACCTGGAGATGTGATAGAGAACTGGTATTTGAGTACCGTAAAGTGTGTTGGGATCGATGGGATTATATTTTTACTGTGTATCTAAATCTTTCAAATTGTGTTATATGGAAATAACAGTTTAGTTTATTTTATCACCTTTGTTTTTACATAATAAAACTGGTTTTATTGTTAAAACCAAATTTGCAGTATTGTGTGCCTGTGTTTAAGTGAAAGATCACTTCGTTACATAAAAAAATCAAGTCAGATTTCAATCTGGGATGCAACTTGACTAGTAATGACATCAGATGGGATCCTAACTGTAATTGCGCTGGTGTTATAAACTAAATCAACACAAAAAGTGATACTCTACATTGGAAAAGGAAGTCTTGGGATTTCTATTGGATCTTTAACGTTTGACATATTTATACCCCACGGTTACAAGGATACAGATTTATATTAAATAAAATCCCTCAACCACTTTTACGGAAGAATTCAAAAATTAAAATGACAGACATTTTTGGTGGAATTTGGTGCTACTAACTTATCGGTTAGAGGTTGTTTACAATGCAGGTAAAAATAATGTAATTGCTGATACCTTGTTAAAAATGTAATTGTTGGAATTATTCAGATACGAAGAAAGTGTCTGACATAACTGTATAGGTTACAAGGACAAAGAACAAATGGGTGTATAATTTATTTATATTTTATTCTTATTTATACTGTGCAATGAAATACATTTGAAAATGGTGTTTATTATTTCAAAAGGTGGAAATCTTATGATGACTTTATATTTCATAATTTTTGTGGACTTGAATAAAGAAGGATTATGAATATATGCATTCCGTGTTTTTTTAAGTTAATGAAAAGATCCTGGAACTTGTATTTAGCAAAGGCATTTCTTGGAAATGACACAGTTCCAGAAAATTGCTGGTCTTAGTTACCTGAACTTAGTTGAGGGAAAACACCTGACTGTTTTTATTACTGGGTTTTGTGGCTATTGTTTCACAGGTTTGCAGATAGTTTTGGACTTGTAGTTGAACAATAGCTTGCTGAAGCAAGAGGAAAAAAAATGCTCAGTTTAGCTCTGCTGCTTGTTGTGAAACCAGAACTGTCCTCACAAAGAGCATCTGGAAGAATCCTCACTGTATTTCCCGAGCAACCTAATTTTGCAAAAATCCCAGTGTCTATGCTACCCACTTATGAATGTCAGAATGACAGATGGCTAAATATTCCAAACCTTACCCTTTGTTTCTTTCCCTTTTATCTGGACGTGAATGGGTGTACATTTGTGGTTAATTAGAAGAGTAAAATATTACATTTTCCTGTTACAAACTGCACTGTGTTGAAAGACACGATTTAGAAATATATAAATCTAATTTTGTGTTTGCATTTGAAAATAATAGTATATGGCTGATGGTTACTTTAGGAAGGGATTGTAAGGGGAAAACAAAAACAGGTCAGACACTCCTTCTGGAACAGTGAGACTTGATTCAGTAGGTGTCAGAGAGTAAGATAACAAGGTGTAGAGCTGGATGAACACAGCAGGCCAAGCAGCAGCAGAGGAGCAGGAAGGCTGACGTTTCGGGCCTAGACCCTTCTTCAGAATCCTGCTCCTGTGATGCTGCTTGGCCTGCTGTGTTCATCCAGCTCTACACCTTGTTATCTCAGATTCCCCAGCATCTGCAGTTCCTACTATCTCTGTGTCAGAGTAGATGACTTACAAACCCCTGGAATGTTAACGGAAAACAGTTTGTATGTTGCTGGTTTATAGTCACTTTTGGAATAATTGAAGATTGATTTTGGTTTAGAAAACCTAGAGATTGAAAGATTTTAGGGCAGTTTAAAGTTGATCTGACTAGAGTCAAAAGCAGGTGAATCAGTTAAGTAAAACTTAAAGAATAGATACAGAGAGTTCATTTCTCTGGATTTGAATTTTTGTGGAATTATGGTATTGAAAAGCAGGTTGAAAACTTTGATTTACTGTCTGTTTTATAATGTGTTCTATATTTAGATAGCCTGGTGTGTTCATCTTTCGTGTAATAAATGTCAGTTCTATTGCAAAAGAAATTCTGCAACTTTGTGAGACTATATTTCACTGAGTGACCACAAAACTAAATAAAATTTAAACAAAATCCATCAGGCCAGAGTTCAGAGTTCATTCTGGGATCTGACTTGTCCAGTAAAATCATCAGCTGGGATCAAAACAACGTTAACCAATTCTGCATCTTTGAGGAATAAACCTTGTTCTATAATAAACCTGGATGATGGCTCCTTTTGTTTGAAATCCAGTACTGAGAAAGCCTACAATTAGCCATGAGGAAAAAGTATACTCATCATATCTCAGTCCTAACCACTGGTGGTAGATACTTAAGTGGAGCTGCCTCCACTTCCACCTTCTTGGTTTCCTTCCTGTATACGCTATATAGTTTCAAGCACAATTCTAAATCATTTTAATTGACATAGTAGTCTCTGCCTCAATAGGTATTCCCAGAAAATATTCCACTCTCAAAAAGACAGCATTGCTTCTAATCCAGGCTGTCAGAAGCTTAGCTCCCACTCCAGAAATTGGAGCACATATTAAAGGTTGACACTGTGCAAGTAAATACTGAAAGGGCAGTGAGACATGCCCCAGGGAGGTGTTGTACAATTGTGGGTCAGAACTGATGGAGTGATGCACTGGTCAGGTGATATGTACAAAGGGAACAGCAAATCAGAAGTCCTTTATACATTGAGGTGGCGGAAGATGCTGCAGAAATATTTAAGTTGTCAGTGTACCAAAGAATTATTCCAATTCTTTCTTTCATTCCTCCAGTGATTGCCCTCAGATGGTGCTGTAGGTGACACAACCTATGGACTCAACAATTCACTGTTTGCTCAGAGTTTTAATAATTAAGATTTTCTTTAATCGTTTCTGTCCTAACAAGAGGTGATCCAATTTTCTTTTACATCTTTATTCATGCCATCTATTTCCTGCTTCGGTACTAATGAATTGATATGAGATTCTAATAACCTGCCTACATGCTGATTCCACATCATATTCCAACCATAGTGTAACTGAAGTCGTGTACAAATTCACTACCATGATGAATTGAAATGATGCATAAAACCATGCATTCTTGTAGTTATTTTTCTAAAACCTATTCTCCTAACCCAACCTTTCATTATTTCTGCACTTCTTTTTACGCCTTAAACATTTAGTGTGCACATTGTTTCCTCCTATTTTTCATTTCTCTGGAACTACCAATTCTGCTGAACCAGACTCATCTTTGCAATTTACAGCACTCTTCATTCAATTAACCATCGGCCTAAGACAGTGCCTTAGCAAATGCCAATACGATTCTTCTTGTGCCTGTATTGAAATCATTCATTTAAAGTTCTTTCCCATTGTATTTCTCACTGTCATGTGCTGCATTATAAAATGCTGAGCATTCCACATATCTATTCAATTAATCACTTGACTAGATCTCAGTTAACAACATATCAGCCAAGATCTAAATGAAATAAGAACAGAAATGCTGCAGATTCTCAGCAGGTCAGCCAGACCTTGTGAGAGAATGGTCTGACCTGCTGAGTATTTCTAGCAATTTGTTTTTACTTCAAATTTCTAGTATCTGCAGTATTTTGCTTATGATCTATGTAAACATCAGGACAAGTTTAATGAGCTGAATGGTCTATTCCTTTCTTAGGAAGTTGTGCGCACCTTTATATCCACTCCTTTTGACCATAATTCAGCATGTCTTTTTGATACATTCTCTGACATGAATTGAGTTAAATCTCTACTTATTTAAAGTGCATATCGGTGAATCCATGTAGATCAAATGACTGGAATCATAAAATGCATAAGCAGTGAAATGCAATTTTAACTCTTCCTAAACAAACTACACTGGCTACATCAGAAAATAGTAAACTATCTAGTAAGCTATTAATAACTAAACTATGGATCATTATTCCATCTATTAATCTACAGAAAACCCAATAAATAATTCCACAAAATTAAATGCTCTTACCCCTCTTTATATCAGGTAATGATGCCCTTGTCTCAACCCAACTATCACAGAAATAGAACCTGGTCAGTGTACCTCTATTCGGGTTTTGAAGAATCGATCAGGCAATCTTAGGTTGTGAGTACAATAAACGTCTTGTACGGTGGAGGGTGAGTATTGAGCTCCCATCCTATCCACCTAAAAGACAATATGTACATCCCTTATGTAGATATAACTACTTTGAAGTCAAATGTATTGTGAACTGAATGCACTAATAATTCAACTTAACTTCAAAACTTAAAACTAGATGTCTAGAAAATATTGCCTGTCTTGCAACATCTTCCTCATTCTCTGAATTAAGTATACTACAAAGTGGTCCAAAACGGCAAGCGGAGAGAAACACAATGTAATTCCTGCACGATAATTTGATGGCGTTGTAGCAGCCATGTGACTCCCTTTTCCATTAATAAGTATTTCTCTTAGGCTATGCCATTTGGTTTACCATGGAATTAGAACAGTACAAAATGAGGTTGTTTATGTTTAATCTTCAAAAATTTATCCAATTAACCCCGCTCCCCAACTCACCCTGCAAATATTTCCTTTCAAATCCCTTTGAATATGCTTCCACCGCATTTTCAGGCCGCGAGATCCAGATCACAATAGGTCGCTTTATAAATCTTATAAATGCTTCATCTCTCCCCTAATTCTTTTACAAATACACATTCTTTGCTTACTTGTTACAGCTTGCCTGTAATAATAAACCCCAAGTCGCATCAGGTAACAGAACTGAGCAAAGGGAAGAGCTCCTTACACATTGAAGTTGACCTATATTCATTTTGCAAGAGAGTGAACCCTCTTTGACTGATCAAGTGAGCCTTGTTACTGAAACATTTTGGATTTATTGCTATATTGACTTCATCATCCACTTATTAGGTAGAGTTTGAAAATCATGCTGTTCAGTTGAATTGATATATTGCTGACTCATGGGTTTCAGTGCATGATCGATTAGTATATTTTGCAGTCACTATGCAAGTAAAATCTAGGATTTAAGAGTGGAAATAGGCCATTGAAACCTGCATCATCATTCGATAACATCATGGCTGATCTCAAAAAGAGTGTGGAGAAAAGGAGGTCTGGCAGCAACTGTAGAAAGAAAACAAAGTCAATGTTTCTCTCTACAGATGCTGCCAGGCATGATGTGTTTCGCCAACACTTTGTTTTTGATTTAGATTTCCAGTATCCACACTTCTTTAGGTTTATCATCATGGCTGATCGCATTGTGGTCTCAAATCCCCTTTTTTATCTGCCCTCCATAAGCCTTGATTCCCTTGTCTGTTGAAATCTATCTACTTCAGCTTTGAATAAATTCAATGATACTGCCTTCATGGGTCTTAGACTGCTGTCAAGGGTCTTATAAAGAAGTAACTGCAGCAATAGCTAAACATTGCTTAGAATCTTCCAAAGTGCCTTAGATTCTGGAAATGTAACATCTTTATTCAAGAAAGAGGGAAAATGAAAACTGGATATTTAGAAAACTATAATGAAATCAGGCAGAGTCAACATGGTTTAATGAAAGGAATTGTGTTTAATTAATTTAACAACATTCATTGAGGAATAACAAGCAAGGTCGATAAAAGGGAACCTGTAGACTTAAATTTTCAAAATGCATTTGATATGGTGCCAAATCAAAAGTTTACCATGCAAAATTAGAGCTCATATCAAATGAAGAAAGATAGCGGCATGAATTAAGTTAGCAAAACAGCAAATTGTAAGGACTGTGCCTTTTTATTTTTGTATCTTTAAAAAGAGCAAAAATAAAGAACTTTAAAAAACTAGGATGGCTGAATAATTTCACAGCAAGGAATTTGATACTTATTGCGAACTTTTTTTGTGGCTGTGGGTTCCTACAATATGCAGACAATCAGGAGTTATGTAAACAACTCAGAAGCTGATTGGTTTGCAGTAAACTAGGATTGGAATTGTAGGTAAATTAGAGAGAGGGACGAGGGGTGGGGAGGGAGACAGAGAGAGAGAGACAGAGAGAAAGAAAGAGAAA